CAGGAATGCAAGATGCGCTCAGGTCCCCAGGCTGCATTGTGCTGCAAGTGGAGAGGTCGCCGGCTCGCGGGGATAATCCTATTAGCGCCGCTCGAAGCCACTGTTTGTCCTTGACGCAAAATATCACCACCGAGTGGTTGGCGTCCGCTCATGCTCGCTGCGCTTTGGATAGGCCATGCTAACAAACACATCAAACAAGCCCACAAATTGCTCGTACCGAGTTCTTCTATTTATTTATTTATTTATTTATTTATGTATTTAAACGTTGTGCTTTCATTTTAAACTGCGCAGACAATGAGTAATTCTATGTGATTCTGCTTGAAAAATGCAAAATTACTTTTCAGCATTAAAAAAAAAAGTACTTTCATTCATTTAGGTTATAAATTCACTCACTTTCATCTTGAAAATGTGCATTATGCTGCTAATGTTTTTCTTTGGGACATTGCAACTTTGTACCTCCAAAACGATTTCATTTAAAAAAAAAAAAACACACACAATCCAAAATTCCTGGGGCACAATTTTGCTTGCCCCCATTTTAAAATGGTTGCGTACAAATCAGGCTCACTGTGATGTTTCCTTTTCAAGTAAATCTGGCAGAAGCATGTAAATGAGCTCCAGTCCCGTTTGACCACACAAAAGGGGGAAAACCACTGACTTTGTGTGTGTGTGGGTGTGGGTGTGTGTGTGTGTCCAATTCCTGCTAAATGGCACTTCCTTGAGGGGCCGGTCCCCCCATGTCAGACCGGGTGCCATCTGGGCACCATGTTAGCACTGGCTGCTGAGCGATCACAATTTTTTCACTTTTTTGGGGTGTGGGCGTGGAAAAAACAGTGAGTGAACATTGTGAGAATAAACATTTTTCTTGTAATATTATGCCTAATACCCCCCCCCCCCATACATAACAAGAGGTTTGGAGGGGCCCTCGTGCGTCTGGCTAACACCTTATCCAATGCAAACACATGCACGCCGTTCTGTTTTATTGCGAGATTGGGTTAATCTTGCTGCGGGCTTTAGGCACCGCTACCCCCGCCGCTCCCCACCCCTCTTCCTCACCCCTATAACCCCACCCCCCCGCCCCTGGAGTGTTTTTAGTTGTTCCAGCTGTGCAGTAGAACCTTTATGTTGTTGGCATAGCTGTGAAATTTGCAAAAACCCACATGGGAAAACATGCGCAGGCATGCAGGGGCACCCACTCCTCTACACAGACACACACACACACACACACACACACACACACACACACACACACACACACTGCTCCCAGTCCCCATTCATTTTCTACTCCCCCCCTTTTTTTTATCCCACTTTCCCTGGCAATCTGGCAATCTGGCCCAATCGTCTCCATCGTGGGCCTCCCCTTCGACTTGCGGCGTGGCTGCACTCGTGATAAGGCGCAGATAGCAGATCTCGGTGGTCGCTGATGTAATGATGATGAATGCCGTGCCGCTGCCAGCCCCCCACTCCCCCAAAAAAAAAAACCTTCAAGGAGAATGCCGGGACCCCCGACACTGAACAGTCATCCTAATGAAATGAACACAAATACAGCAGCTCATGTGTGAGCCAAATTCAAGCCCCCCCGTGCACCCTCCCATCCAAGTGTCTGATTGTGTGTGCAACACACCAAAAAGAATGAAAATAAATTCGGAGGAAAAAAAATTGATTTGCACAATTAGTGTCATTTTGAAGTACTTCCAAAATTGTTTCAAACTAACTTTTCTCCAAAAATGACTTTTTTTTTGGTTTTTTTTTTTTGTTCAGGAAATTCACACTTTTTTGTTAGTTGTTTTCTTTTTTTTTTTGGTAAGTTTGTTTTGAAAACAAACAAAAAAATCAAACCAGGCAAGCGTTTATTTTTGCTCTTCACTTTGATGTGTTCAATTTGACATTCAGCTCGCCGTCTTTTGTGCGCCGGGCGTATAATTTATGTTAAATTGATTTGCTTAATGTGCTTAAAAAATAAGGATGCTTTTTTTTTTTTTTGGGTGCGAATTGCAGCATTTTAAACCTGTTAAATGGCCTCGCTTTCTGCATGGAGGGATTACAGCACAAAATGAAGATGTGCTTCCCCCCCAAAGAAAAAAAGATGAGATGAGGGAACCAACTTTATGGAGAAGACCACATTTGCGTCGAAAGGGCGTGCCGCGCAGGTCGCCGGGATTAGGGGTGAAAAGTTCTGGCATTTAATTGCCACTCAGTAGCTGCGGGGACACAAAAAGCCGGTCAGACACGGTCCACTGGGCCGGACTTGGGAATGTTCGCCAGTGGAATGGCCCTCGCTGCCCCGCCCCCCTACACACAGCAAACTTGACCCCGCTATCCACTTCATCTCCTTGCAGTAGAGCGCACCTGGAGGGCGTTGCCCATACTATGCACCATTTTTTATTTTTTTATTTTTAAGCGTCACGCTCCTTTGCAAGTGTGATGAAGATTCAACACGAGGATCATCAAACTGCAGGCGGAGTAGAAATGCAGCTCGGACACTTTATTAGGCACACTTGCACAACCTGAGAAGTGCTGCCCAGAATTCAAAGCCAAATAAGATATCCTCACACCCCCCCCCGCCCCCGCCCCTCCATAGCTGACTTTTTGTAAAAATCCATTGTTTATCTCGATAAACTATTCCGTCATTCAACTACGTTGTACGCGGCTACAACCCCGAGCGACATGATCGTTAACTTCGCCTTAAACAAGCCAAAAGATGTAACGTCTGATCACATGACAGGTTCTTTTCTCCCCCCCCAAAAAAAGAAAACAAGGGCAACCGTTTCACTTTCACGTGCAGATCAAAATGGGTCCCGCAGATAAATCCTGACGTGCGTGTTTGCAAAAGGTAGCCGCATCTGTGCAATTTCCAACCACTTATAATCAATTATTTCACAGCACATTTTTTATTTACTTACTGTTTTTTTTCTAGTTTGGAGGAATAACAAAACAATACATATCCTTTTTTTTCTTTTTTCTTTTTTTTTTTTTTTTTTTTTAAATAACTGTAATTCCGTGGTGGTAAACTTGTGGCCCGCGGGCTGTTTACTGAATCAAAGCATCCTGGCAAAATTTATTTAGCTGCCTGACGGCGGGTCCGGGTCATGTGGGAGCCATTAGACGACGAGCTTTGTTTGATTCTGTGTTGATTGGCCGAGAAGTAATTGTATGTGTGTTTTTCTTTTCTTTTTTGTTTTTTTCTGTGGCGATCTGGCAATTGCTTACAGATGCTGCCTGCTGCTACGGGTCAGCATAGATGACATGCATGGAAAGAAAAAAAAGTAAAACAAACAAAGTGCGCAGTGTTTGTCTGACGTTTAGCCTTCGCTACTTCCTCCGTAAGGCCCCCGTCCCCTCACCTCCCCCCCAAACAAAACACTCCCCACCCCCTAGTGTGCTTGTAATAAAGCTAGCATGTTTACAGAATGCCTGCCAATTAAATGTCTCTGTTGGCTAATTAGACAGTCTGTATGTTAGATAGGCTAAATGTTTCCATGGTGTCGCAGCAGTTACCTGGCATGATAACTAGCTAGTTCCAGACAAAGCTAATTATAAGCTAGTTAGCTAGTTAGTTGGGTGGGAAGTTACATTTCGATTGTGTGGTAGGTAGCGAACACAAAATGGGAGGCAGGACGTTATGTGCTATGTCAGGGGCTACAAACGATAGCTAATGATAGCTACTTCTCGGGTACTGATTAACGCAAAGGGCTTCTGAAATAAATTTGCTCATATTACTTTTAATAATGTTATAATTGTACTTTCTTCATTCATGCAATGATTTAGGCAATGGATAATATCAATAGAAAACACTGGATATATTTTTTTTTCATTTTAAATCTCTACCAGTAAACAAAATGGCAGCCCATGTCCTCATCCATGAACTAGCAAGTAGCCTTAGCCTGCACATGTTTAATTGTAATTAGCCAGCATTAATGCAAGTCAGGATAAACATTTCCACGACCGATGGCTTCTGAAGTGCTGATCTTGCCCTGTATTTATTGGCGTGTCATTGTGGTGTTGTGCTGTTGTCTGGCTAATAATCATAGACCTGCATGACCTAGATGGTGTTGTATTTGTCCATGGCCTCTGAGGTGCTGAACTGCCAGACGGCACACTGCACCGCTCTCTTCTAAACCCACAGACGGCATTAACTTCAACCACCTTTTATTCTTTGAAAGAAAAATTGCCCGGCACCATGATATTCCCAGCAGGACCTTCAAACAATCCTTGTTTTTCCAGGACTGTTTTTTTTTTCCTTTCTTTTTCTTTTTTTTTACTTGTTCTCCGGTATATACCCTTAAGGTTTCTCCTCACTGCCGAACACGAGCATGACTATCTGCACTCGCTTTTACTTTGTTTGTCAGATCCCAGATCTCGTCTTGTTGTGATTGTGGCTTGTTTTTTTTTTCTTGGCAGGAAGTCAGAAGTTTAAGGTGACATACTTCTAAATAACTTTAGATTTTAGATAGCAAGAAAGGAACAAAGCTGAGGGGCCCTATATGCAGCATTATGATTGATACTATTTTATGTTTGGATTCTCATGTATGACTTGGATTCAGCTAGTTACCTAGTTTGTTAACAACGTAGCTAGATGCTCCAACTGATTAAGTAATTTTAAAGTGTCAGCCAAGCGGAAAAGTAAAAGACTGGAGGTTATGAACGTATCAGTCATTTCAGTAGTTTGTTGGCCACCAACCTAGCTTGGTAGCGAGATCGTATAGAAGTGGCGGCCAGCCGAGTGGCCCCCAGGAGCCTGGCTTGAGCTTCCAGGGGCACAGATTTGAATTCACTCATTTCATTTTATTTTTCAGTGTTCGAGTAACAATGCCGTGAATACTACAGAACCAGGATGTAGCCCGCCAACTCTAAAGTGGACAGTCAATACAACACGCTGCATTTTTCATAACTTTTGTTCTCTGCACAATTGCGAAAGCTTACACTTGCTTCTTGTGCTGTTTTCCCGAGTTCGAAACTTAAAAGATTGTGTTTAAATCTTCTTGTCCTCGCCTCCCCCTCAGTTATCCCGTCTCCATGCGGTGCTGAGGAATGAGCATTCACCATGGAAACCCAATCCCAGGCCAACTCCGCAGCTGAGAAGAAGAAGAGGGTGGAGACCATCGTGGCGACCAAGGGCTCGTCGGCACGCAATGACATCAGCGAGAAGGCGGTGGCCTCCAGCACCACATCCAACGGTACGACACACACACACACTCCGTGGCATGTCAACATCACCTGACTATGCAACTGACCCCAAGACTTTGGTCTGTATTGCAAAAGCATTCATGAAAAAAAAACATCAGCTTTTACAAATTTCTCCCTGATTTCATTTCAGGATTTTTATAAGCGAAGTAGCATCTTGCTGACTTTTTAAAATTTTATTTTGGTGTCAGAGAAAAACCCCGTCGTGGCTACATACAGTAAGCTAATCACTCATCACATTTAAGTGCAGATGTCCATGACCCGTTGCTTGTTTTTCTAACCGCGATGATATCATTTCTGAGCAACTCCCAAAAGCTGTATTTAAACATGTGACTGTTTGCTTTACTCCATTTTTCCCATGCTTTGCTGTGAGTCACTCTGTATGTAACGCTGTTGCTAAACTTGTTTACATAGCACTGCCTTTAATTTATGCCCTTATGAATGCCGCGTAGCTTACAGCTCATTACGCCTATAGTCATTCGCTTTTCATTCAGATGCAAGAATGAGGTATCTAGCTAGCTAGCTAGCTTTCTAGCTGTCTAGCTAGCTAGATAGATAGATAAGCAGTCAAGTCTATAGACGCAACAATACTGGAGTTGGGATCACCGTTCCCCGCACTTAAGCCGCAGCTGCGCTCATTAGTAGCGGGAGGATTTTAGACTGGTTTTGGGTGTGAGGTGGTGGATGGCCCAAGAGGAGGCTTCTGTCAAACAGGATAATCCCAAGTGTCCAGTGTATAGGGTAAATATGCGGAGGCGACTTTCTCCCTCCGTATGGGAGTTATCACAGGAAGTGGGTAAAGTAACACTGAACATCCGCGAGCATCCTGGGAAAAGCCATTGCCAGATGGCCGATGAAGTTTTATTAATTAAGGAGTCTGCTGAAGGGGGTGGATGTGGAAAAAGCAGGAATATAATTCGACTCCATAATTGGGGATTTTCCTTGCTGATGTAATGACTTTTGGTAAAACTGCAGGGAGTAACTGCAAGATTCACTGATGGGAGCAAGATTAGTCAGACCACGGTTCTTTATGTTTTTGCACCTGTTCTATATTTAAGTCTCCTTTACACTCCCCAGGTTTTTTGCTGTTCTGTGTGAGAGGTCCAGTTTCTGAATATTGCGAGAAAGGTGCTCCACGACCAACTTCTGAGGTAGTGTTGGAGATGGGACGATGTCTGTGTGAGACCGAATAGCTGAAACTGGTGTAAAGTTTAAAACACAAGACTTACTTCTGATAGCACGTTGCTGTGTAAGAGAGTACACAGAGGTGGAAATATCCTGCCAGATCTACCAGTCCACCAGTCCCGATTCGCCGTCTCGGAATCGTAAGACCACTAACATTCTTTGGGCGGTTATAATTACTCCAAATTGCCCTCTGCCAGAACTCATAACCTCTTATCGGATGTAACACTACACCAAACTTTAACCCCCACTGCCTGCATCCCCCCTTCCAAACAAAAAGGTAATTGTGAGCAGCTGCCGAGCAGCCTCTTTGGCGGGTTCCCCTGATTGGAAGAAGCCCCTGATCCCCAAGAAACCCCTTTGGGCTCGAGATCCCAATGATAGTTGAATAGCTTTAAGTCTGCCCCTTGCCCCCTGTTGGAAGTTTTATTCTGGCGCCGAGTTGTCGTTATCGGCACGGCGTTGTGACTTGGTTGGCTACTCAAACGCGGATTCATCCTGCGTGGCCTTCATGCACCACGTTGGCTACCCCACTTCCTCAATCCCCTTTTTTCTTGCCTGACAACTCAAAAGAGCCGACGGCGCCGCGACAATGCCATGATTGGGAGGGGGGGTACAGGGGAGGTCCCCCACATCCCACCCCCATCCCTTACTCTCATCATTCAGCGGGCAGGTGGACCACAAAGTCCTCTGATTCTTTTGTTGGGGGGCGGATATCATTGCCATTGGTGGTTTGGTTTTACAAAATGGGTTATTTAGGACAAAGGTGTGGAATTGGAGTTGAGTTGGGAAGGTTGTGGGGTGGGAGCACAAGAGGCTTCCGAAAGATGTTGTAAAAGTTGTGTAATTGACGACCGGGCTTTTAGCAGTTCAAGTCAGGACAACAAAGAGTTGGGCCAGAGAATTATCGGCGCAAAAGGAAGGCTTTCAAGAAGAAAGGGAAGAAAATCTGACAGGTGAAGAGGGTGGAAGGACGGCGGGATGGAGGGGTTGAGGGGTCACCGTCTTTTTAGGCAGCCATTTAAATGATCAACAGTAAATCGAGGGGGTGGTGAGGATAGCGGGGGGATGGTGCGGGGGGGATTGTCATCCGACAGAAATAAAGTTCCCGTTAACAGCGCGGATGGAAAGTAATTTACAGATACGCTGTCCCCCGCCATCTTTGTGCCGCCCAGATAAGGTTTCATTTCACAAACGGATAGGAGACATTTTCACTTACGGGCCGCCATTCTGGGACACCTGTGATAACAGCTTGTGGACCCCTAATTGAAAATGGGTTTCAAAATGGATTTCCACTTTTCTTCCATCCCTCCTTCAACCCCCTTCCCCGCAGTTTCCTCCATCTCCCTCCGTGACTGCCCCCGCCGTCCGTCAAAACCACGCTTTATTCCGATTTAACCCCCCCCCCACCCACCCCCCAAACTCCACTCTCCGTCTCTTTTGGCCTGGAGAGGTATATTGGAAGGGCAAGGGCGGGAGATCAGCGAGTCCGGGGAAAATAGAGCTTCGGGAGCGGATCATCCCTCAGCCCGTGTCAGCACTATGACAGCTGCGTGATCCGTCTTGTTAATGAAATCATTGATCACTTGATGGGACTCATAATCAACTGTTTCTCCACTGTGTTCTGCTCCATCTCTGCCTTCTCCCGATCCCCTCCTTGTGTTGCTTCTTGAAGCGATGAAAAATCTCCTCTTTTGTTGTTCAAGAATAGAAGGTATACATCCGCGCAGAGGGTCACGGGCAGCGACTGATCTGTGCTTTGGAACCACTCAGAGGAGGATCCCTCCCATCTGTTTCTGTGCTATGTGCCTTTGGTGGGGTCCAGAGGAGGAAGCGAGGGTCCCCTCCATGTTGCTTTGCTCCTGGTTCTGGGTCTGCGGGGCTAATGAGAGAAGACTGATGTAGGGATAAGGGACCTCCAGGGAGTACTGCCTGGCCCGGGGGTCAAACAGCACAATGGAGGAGGCGTTTTGAGGCTGACACACAACCCCCCCCCCACCCCCCCAGAGCAAAACTGGGTATTTGTGTTCAAATAACCCCCTGCTTGTTGCATAAATAATACATAAAAAATGCATGGAAAAACCTTTCAGAATCCACGAGGATAATTTAAGGCCTACCTGTAGACACACAAACAGTGGGCGTGCCTCGCTTTCTCTCGTGAGTCACACTCATTTCACGCACCTCTGGACTGAAGGCAATTTCCTGCAGCAGCAGGGGGACGGGCTTTGGCAGCGCCACCTCGCTGGGGCCCGAGGCGCGAGATTAGCTTAGCTTCATTGCTACTCAGGGCGGAGGGGAACATGAGCCTTCCAGCCCAGCCTTGGTCTTTGGACTCGCTTGACTGGCAGACTTCCGTCCACAGCGCCGCAGTGAGAAATCGGTGGTCACCGGGGGTCGCAGAGAAGTCCCCGGACCATCACCCCCTCGGCCCCCCAAAGAAAGATAATGAGCCTGTCCCAAAGGATATGATGTAATGGGGTTAGGGTTGGGGTTAGCCAAGTAACATCCCAACACCGCTCCACCAATGCCAGATCCCATTCCTTTGAGACCGGAGAGGTGCGGGGGTCCCGCAAACCCATAATGTGGGGAAACAGTATTTGATTATGCTTGTACTTTTTTTTTTTTTTTGCTATTTGTTGTCAGGCATTGGTGGCCTCACCCCCCCTGCCAGTAGGAACAAAAGCAGGAGCGTCCCGAGCCTGCCAGGAGGATTTAGTATGGTGCCTTCCTTCCCTCACTCTGTGTTGTGCTCTCGGGTCCTTGCAAAAGTCATGGTGGCAATGCGTGGCCCTGGTGCTTCAATTCAAACACCGACGGACGTTTGCGTCCAACGGCTTTTGCCCCGCCGCATCTGGTGTTGATCATAAGAAAATGTGCGATGACAAAAACGTTTTCCAGTTTTGGTTTTTAAATGCTTCCTTGACACACTTCATCATGTGGTGAGAACATATAATTAGTTCAAGGTTCGAGTCTGGCTGGGGATTTACTTGTGGATTTTAGTTGGACGCGTGCACAAAAGGCTAAAGAGACACAACTTGAATGGCACTTTGGTAGAGTGCAGATCTCGGCCAAGAAAATATACCAGATGCGGGTTTTATAAATGTTAGTTTTCATTTCTGCTTGTAAATCCATGAGAAAATTTGGATCGGAATTGGACCGCTTCTCTTAGATTGTCGAGTACTGTTTTGATAGCACTGTATCACGTCTATTAATCATCAAGTTAAACACGACCTTTCAAGTACAAACTGTTAGACACGTTCATTTTTTTTTTTTTTTTCAAATGGAGCACCATAAGTGTCACCATATGGGGCAAAACTCTCCAAACCTTTCCATGTTAGTGGCGATGGATATGTCGGACTACAGACGAGTGAAATTGAGGTTGTAAGATTTCCAAACCGTGTGACCTGAATCTGCAAAACAATCTCTCGGATTATTCCTTGTACCATCCTACACAAAGTTTCATGGAGAATTGTTGTGTAGTTTTAAAAACACAAACCTCACCTCCTTGGCTGAGACCTCTCAATATAAATAACTTTTCACAAATGGGGGTGCATGGCCGCCTCAGCCATTGTAGCACACCGCGGTCGGGATTTCCAATGGCAGAAGCTTGCGTTTCAGCCTCTGACAAACTTGATCAAGTCAAGCTTTCAGGTTTGCATGAACAAGAGGCCCCCGCATCCCCTTAATCTCTCCCTCCTGACCTCCGCTCCCCCCTGGGCCTGGAGTCCCCCCCCC